TTGGAATGATTCACTTGGAGTGATGAACGTCCAACGGAGAGCAGCTATGCAGTCAAGGAAGAAACAACCGAATTGGGATATGCAATTGGATGTGAGAACATTTTTTATCGAAATTTCAAATGTCCGTTCATTTCAGATCGTCTCATTCGACGCCAGTTATCGTATGGGATTATTTGTGATTGATAAAGTAACGGCGTTAACGAATCAAAAAGAAAAGCGGGATCGCTTTCCACAAGAAATGTTCCTACTCACGGATGCTGTATTCAAAGAACTGCGGTCCGGTCAAGCAGTTTTCTATTCTGAAACTATCAAAGCCGAAGTAGTAATCGCAAAAGACAGAATCGGAAATGTTCCAGGAATTTGCGGGGTCTCTTCCTCCGAATTCAAGAGTGCAAATGCGCTCCAACACGAATGACCGTAATACTACAGTAAAATTAACGTTGGTCTCGACGCTAAAGCTTGAAATTGAACTTCCTGCGATGCCTGAATTCCATATGAAATCAGGAAAAATGGCTTTAAAACATTCCGGCAACAACGAAAGTTCCAAAAACTAGGTTAAATTCTAATTCTAATTATGAACAGTTTTTAAAGTTTTGAGATGCATATGTCTATCAGGATGTCTGTATAGTAACGATACGAAAATTTTGAAGGGAGACTGAAAAAAAAATTAAACTTCTTTGTCCTAGATCCTCCAAAAAGGCATTACTAGTATGGTTTTTCGTCATTTTTCTGAACATTTGAAGGATTGCTTTAGGGTTACGGTAGTTATAACTAATGATTCCGTACCCTTTTCCTTCACTTGTATATCACAAACAAGTCAAGACAAATTAGAAAATGTCACACAGAGAAAAAAGAAAAAGAAGGGAGTGAGTGAATAATTCATCTCCCAAAACATCTTCCTTCGAGACTTATCCAATGCATTCAAGATCAATAAGCTTCTCCTATTCCTTCTTCTTCTTCTTGACCTTCATCTGAATCCATCTAAACCCAGCCATCCACGTCTTTTTCTTCTTCTCCTTCTTCTGCTCTCGTATTCGCTCCGCCTCTTTTTTTCAATATTTAGTTGTCTCGCCTGAGTTTGCTCTCATTCTTTTTTCGTTTCACTCACTCCTCTCCTCACCATTTTGTCGTCGTGGACGCTTCCGAAATTTCTCCGATTACTGGGTTTTTACCGGATGAAAATGGAAAAGAATGAGGAAGAACAACTGGAAGGGGAGAATATTCAAGAAGACGTTGGAAGAGTCATGGAAGACGAAATAACTAATAATCAGGACCAAAAAGTTGAGTCTTCTTCTTCTGAGGAAAAGCCTAAAACTCCAACTGTTCATTTTACAAAACCAAGGTAAGGATTTAGAAAAAGAAAATTTAGGCTTCCAATGAGCTAGTCTTCCGGCCTTTGAATCTATAAAATTAAACGAAAAAGTGAATTCCCACTAGTTTCTTTTGTCATGAAAATGAATGGGTTTTATTTCTGCAAAGCCGTCAGCCTGAAAAATCTCAGCTTTTCTTTAACTCTTCCTTTTCTTCTCTTTTCTTCACACGTTCTCCTCCACCGCATCTATATTTCTCTACATCTCTCTCATTCGAATTTACATTTTCTATAGTAGTTTTTTTTCTCTGAAAAGGGTCTTTTCAGAACACACTCTTCTTTTTTTGTTATTTTATATATTTTTTCCCATCATAAGCGGAAAAATGCATGATGCAAACTAGGACGAGTGTTTAATGAAACATGAGACTTTGAGGTTTTTTATCAAATTTTCGAAATTCGACTTGTTTTTCGACTCAATAATTTTGGATCATATTAGAACACATTCTTCTTGACTTTTCTAACCAAAAAATAAAGGGCCATGGTCAGATTGCGGTCGGAAGTTGAAAATGTAAATATTATTAGGTACGAACTTTGTCATAAATTTGTTGGGGTTTAGCCGGCCTTGTCTTATCCGAAATCTGACCAACCTCCGACTTGAAATTGCTGGTGTCGCGCGAGCTAGAACATACCAGAAAATGTGGCACCAATTTAAAGTGATGGATATAAGTACTCTCATTATTCGTCTTCTCAATTTTATGTAAATCAGATTTTCCTCATCTTCTAAGTTTTTTTTCTTCCTATTTCATTTCCTCCCAAGATTTGCTCTCTTTTGCCCATTTTCTTTCCCATCTCCTGACCCACTTTTCCGTCGATTTTCCTATTTTTGAATGATGAGTGTGGGGGAGAGACACGTAATGGCCTTTTTGAAGCCGCTCGACCCGAACAAAAGGGCTTTTTCTGGATTACTTTTTGACACAAAGCGGAATAGAAAAATGATGGAATACGAGTAAGAGTTTTTGAGAATGTATGTTTGGAGACAAAAAATAGGAAGAGTGCATAAAAAAAGAAGAAAAAACTGCAGACAGCTTGCAAATAAAATGAATGACATTAGGTGAAAAAAAACGGAGAAACCGAAAAAACACTTTTAATTTGAAATAGGCGTTTAGGGGATCAGAAAAACCTTTTTCTTTTGAGGGAGATGGGTTAGTGATGATAAAATGAGGTTAAATGACGTCATGAGAGTTTTAGTTGAGCCAGTTTTTTATAATACGCTCAGCTTCTCATCTGGTACGCTAATTTTTGATGATTCACACATTCAGAAAACTCCAAATATTCCGAAAACGCAGAAAATTCCGAAAATACCAAAAACTCCGAAAATTACAAAAACTTCAGAAATTCAGATATTCAAAACTTCAGGATTTTGAAGTTTTAAATTTCCCAAAGTTTTTTTCAATTCCCAAAAATTTTGAAGTTTTCGATTCCCAGGAATTCAATTTCCAAAGTTTCAAAAACTCCAAAATTTCGGAAAGTTCCGACATTTATGAAATTTTCAAAAATTCCTAAAATTCGGAAGTTTGAAAATTCGAAAATTGCAAATTCAGAAGTTCCAAAAGTTCCTAAATTTCATTAAAATCCTAAAATTCCCAAAACTCTAAAATTCTAAAATTCTAAAATTCTGAAATTCTAAAATTCTAAAATTCTAAAATTCTGTAATTCTGAAAATCTGAAAATTTGAAATTCTAGAATTCTAAAATTCTGAAATTCTGAAATTCTGAAAATCTGAAATTTTGAAATTCTAAAATTTTGAAATTCTGAAATTTCAACATTCAGAAATTCAGAATTTCAATAATAAAAAAATCTTTCGCAATGATTCTTGGCTTTTTTTTCGCATCACCCTCATTTTTCAGCTTTTACCGAGTGAACACTGTGATAAGTGATGTAAAAGTGTGTCGTTCGATGTCGTACGATATGTGTGGAAATCATCAGCAAGAGCTGCTCTTCGATCTTTACAAGGATGAGACGACAGGAAAAGTCTATCTTCCACGATTTTTCAAGGTACCCCCTTTTTCCCAACTGCGTCCTTTAAACATCCTTTATCTCTTCTTTCAGGCTTTGCTTGAAAGCGGAATCCGAAAAGACGATCCTCGAATCGACAAAATGATTCAAAACATTAAAGATGCTGATCTTCTGGATGATTTTGTATGGGGCTCCCAACACATTTATTTGGAAAAGGACACATTCAAGAAATACATTGGAAGTAGCATTGGAGTGGTGACGAAGGCATTGAAGAAGCAGATGATCATACCGGATTGGGAACGGTTCGTTGGAGATATGGGAGAGATTTTTGAAGATGTTCGAGGATTCAATGAAGGAGAACTGGCAACGTATATTCCACAACTATCACGAGTTCCACCTGATAGTTGGGCAATGTCTGTATGTACGATTGATGGGCAAAGGAAGAGCTGGGGAGACTCATTGAATCCGTTCTGTCTGCAAAGTGTTTCAAAACCCTTCACTTATGCTCTGGTTCATGATGATATTGGACCGGAGGCGTTGCATGCACACGTGGGACAAGAACCTTCTGGAAGACTATTCAACGATATCAGTTTAGATCATAATAGTGAGTTCTTCAGCCTGATTTGTATTTTTCAACTTGCCATGCTAATATGCTGGTATTCAAAAGTTAGAGCTGTGGAAGAGAAAATCTGGTACCCGCGGCCACTGCCGAACTATCGTAATTAGCAAAAATCAGTCGGTTTGTCCCCTTTCAGAGCTGAATCTCCTGGTTTCCGCTTACCGTACCCTAAATTTCAAATTACTAACCTCGGAATTTCCAAGTTTTCGTCCCCAAAATTTCTGAATTTTCGAAATTAGAAAGTATCGAATTTCCCAAAGTTTTAAATTCTGAATAACTGAATATTGAAGTTCTGAAATCCAGAACTATTGAATGTCCTAATTTCTGAAGTTGCAAATTTGCGAATATCTAAAAATCTGAGTTTTCGAAATTTCAGAAAGTTCCGAGTTCTAAAGGGTGGCTTCTAATTATTGACACCAAACTTGCGAGCTACTGTCTATTCAATAAAAC